GATTAGGTCATGTGACTAGCAGCTTTCTCAGGTGGAAACGAAACTTTTACTGTCTATATGAAATCGGAAGACAAACGATGTCCCTAACCCTAACCATAACCCTAAGGATGGATATCCAACTCCGCCCACATCCAAGTCGGCCATTTTTATTACGTCACCAATAGGAAGATCCCAGGCAAGAAAATCCTAATTGCTTCATGGCAATATAGACATTCATTTAAAAATAGTGGAATTATTCTTGCAAAAACTGAATTAAACTCTATAGAGTCCTGGATCTGGACGCATTTTCAGCCCAGTCAGCATCTGTTCCAGCCTTTTTTTTTCACAGGGAAGAACTACACAGTTACCTGATGTTGAAGAAAAAGATTCAGATGAATACAAAGGAATGCGTTTCCTTGCTTCTGCCAGTTTTAGATGGAAATTATTACTCATCGTTCAATCTTCAGCTCTTTCTCTATCAGAGCACCCTCTCAGATAATGAGAAACCGTCTCTGAATTCGGACTCTTGGCCGTCTTATTCTTTCATCTCCTCTCTAAACTCATGTGCAGCCCCTTTTCTTTTCACTGGTTTTCGGGGTACAACTCGAGGTGACAACAGGAGGGCGTTTTTGTGTTTTCCAGGTGGCCCCGCGGACGGCCGGCTGCTGCCCGGCGACCGGCTGGTCAAGATCAACAACGTCGCCGTGGACGACCTGACCCCCGAGCAAGCTGCCGAAATAATCAGGTCTGCACACACACACACACACACACACACACACATACACACACACTTACACAGGATTTTAAAGCAGCTCTGACCTATTTTTGTGTCTTTTTCAGGGAGTCTCAAGACACACTGACCATGACGGTCCTCAGAATAATGCACGTGAGTCTCACAAACCCACATTCACACGAACTTCCATGAAAATTTTGGGACTTTCAGCCTTGTTTTAGTGTTTATTTTTGGTCTAAATTATTAAAGGACCAAAACATATTTTCTTTCCTGCATTAGTGAGTGAGAATGCCGATAGATGGACCCCATACAGCCGCAGGTTTTAATCATCCACTGCAGAAAAAGCATATTTATGATGATTGTATTTATTTATTAGATCGTTTTCAGCCTCTGGCGGCCTGATGAAGTTTCCATGATGAGTCTGATGAGTTGTTGGGGTCTAGTTCTGGTTCTGATGGAGGCTTTTAGCTAATAAAAATTAGATCTGAGTATTTTTCAATGCAGTCTGTTAGCTTTCTTGACTAAGCGGCTAATCTGAGATGTAATTAACTGACTGTAATTATGACTGCTTTAAAATTAATGTTGAACCGGCTCGAATTGCTCTGCGTCATTGAGATTAGATAATTGTGGCTTTTGCTGTGATTTGGCGCCTCGACGGGGTTGAATTACAGGAAAATAATATAGATATATACTGCTGAGTGAGAATAAAAGCAGATAAACAGACTAATGTTATACAAATGTTTCATCCAAAACGGAAATGAATGACCCTAATAGTCACCCTCAGCTCAAGTATTTAACTCAGATGTTTGTAAAAGAGTAGAATTGTACTTTTTTACAGTTTATTTATTGTCCCTCGTGTCACTTTCACTCATTGTGTTTCTTTTTGCTCATCAATATTTCACTCTGAAATCGGGAAAAGTGCCGACCAGGCGTCTTCCTTTAAGTTAATCTTCCCACAGCAGCACTTTACAGAACACACACTCAGTCCATCTCTTCTTCCGGTTCTGCTGCTTAACAGAAAGCGTGCGCTCACGTGCACGTGCACGGCGACGTGCACGGAGCCACTGTTGCCAGCAGCATTAATCAGCATAGCAATGAGGCAGGAAGGAGGTGGAAACGATCAGCTCCCCTGAATCACCGTTAGCTGTAATAACACGACTCAGCCCAGAACCCCCCACCCCCCACACACACAAACACACACACACTCACAAACACACACTCCATCACCTGTGCATTTAGGTGCAGTAGGTCGATGGATAAACGCTGACTCTGGCTCCCCCACAAAGTCATCCATCACTCCCAGATCCTCCCAGATCCTGCAGGAAGTCGTTACGGAGGTTTAAGGAATCAGACGCTCTGCTTTGGAAACATGCACGAAAAATAAGCAGAATTATGGAGCCAAACAAAGAGGGAGTAAACAGATTTAAGGAGGATTACGCTCCAGTTTTCTCCCACGATTCAATACTGGTTGTAACTGGTTGTTCAGTTAACGCTCAGCATGTAAACTTTCCCTCCATATTTGTTTTTTAGAAAATTTTTTATTTTTGTTTTGTGAGAGCATGACAGTACAGTAGTAGATATACTTTCATGGAATGTGTTACTACAGCCACACACAATTATTATTTGTGTGTAATATACAAAGTTAAGTAAATTAAATTAAGTAAGTTACATCTAACAACTTTGAACAAACTGGGAAAGATAGACTCACTTGAAAAAGCAAAAATAAATAAAAAGTCCACCAGACAGTTTTGAATTAAATGGCGGGAGATACATTAATCCTTAGATACAACAAAACATTAAGAAAAAATAAAAAATGAATAACAGTCAATCCATATTTCTTGTATACTGTAAACGCCCAAATCTGTTTGACCCTTTAAACACCAACAACCAAAAGTTTTTCCCGTTCAGGAAAAACTAGGAAGAATATTAAGGAAAAATCTTTTTACTGCAGAATTAAGTCATTGAGTGAAATAAATTCTCATTTTTCGTCTCTTTTAAATCTAAATCTGACTGTCCTGGTCCTCTTTGGCTCAAACTGCCCCCCCCCACATGGGGCCTGTTGTGTTTGTCCAGGGCCCAAAGTCTTCCTTCATCACTCCGGAGAAGCGGGCCAAGCTCCGGTCCAACCCGGTGAAGGTCCACTTCGCAGAGGAGGTGGAGGTCAACGGTCACTCTCAGGTGAGTCCTCATCTCTACAGTCAAAGTGGCATTTGTGCTTTTTTTCTTTGGGAATTCGGTGTTTTGGGGAGGAGCTAGAGGACCCGGAAATAATCGGAGATCCCAGAAGAAACAACCAAAAGTCCAAACACAAACACAGAAACACTTCAACACAACAAACTCAGACTCAAAAACATAATACTGATATAAAAAAAGAGGAAAAAAGAGAACAAATAGAGAAAAAAAAGAGAAAAAAATGAAAAAAAAAGAGAAAAAAATGAAAATCTAAAATTAATTACGTCAAAGGGTCCAAAAAATAATGTAGAGCTTTTGTATAGAAAAGTTTAGGAATCACTAAAAACTGACAGTTCACATATTTGACCTGATTCCAGTTTTCAGTCGTGGATGTTTAAACGGCCTAGGTCAGGCTCAGGTGGTGTTTGTGTGTGTTCTCAGCAAAGATCTCGGTTTTTGTTCGGGTAGAAATCCTAAATTTAGCGTTTTGTAGAGCTGCTCAGCAGGGTCCCCTTTGCTCCATCCATCCAGTTCCTGGGGGGGTTGGGAGCCTTTGGGAGCCTGTTTCTGTCTCCATAAACCAGAATATGTAAATAATGGTGGACAACTAGACCAGTTTATGCAGCTTTCCTGTTGTTATAGTGGCTTTGAGATGATGTTTTACACCTGATTGAGTTCCATCAGAGTATCCGATTAGAAAGCCATTGTTCATTCAGTGCTTTAATATTTTAATATCTAAAGTCGATATACTCTGTCAGGATATTTGATGTAGAGTCTAGGGACGTCCCCATCCATCTTTTTTCACCAGGGATCCGATCCCGGCCTATCAGAGCATGTGTTAAAGTTTAAAGTTATTTATTCTACTTACTTAGTTGTCAGACTCATGTTTAACAGAGATTTACTCTGATAACATTTTAATGGTTAGGACACAGACCTGTGAGTTAGGAGATGCTAATGCTAATGCTAATGCTTAAGGCTGTGCTGGAAAATGACCGGACCGGACATTTGGGAACAACACAGCAAAGTGGTATGGATTATTTTTATTTATCATTATTATCTATTTTTATCTGTGTGCTGGAAAACACAGATTTTTTGGGGAATCTGACTTTTTTTTTTTTTTCAAACTGGATCTGGAGTCTGGATCGGCATTTTCTCCTGTCGGCCAACACGCAGTTTTTTTGCAAATATCGGCTGTGACACTTAGATCTGCAGTCTAGAGATGATAAAACCCAGAGCTTAATGAGCACAAGCACACGTTTAATCTCGAGCATGGACATCCAAACTGGGGGGAAATATTTAATTGGTTGTTGTACAGATACAGCTCTGGTGATTAGAAGAGGAATAGATTAAATAAATACAATAGTTTTCATTCCCAGTCTGAATGAACAGGCCTCTCCAGAGAACGACTTTCCTCTATTCTCACAGACCTTTTCAAAGAGGTTTCACATCACATCTTTAGCCCGCAAAAAGAAACTGAAAATGGAAAATCAGAGCACATTCTTTGATTTTCTTGACAGATTTGGTTTAGCGTCATCTGAATATTTTAACACTGATTTACTATTTTGCTGAGAAATTCATCTTTTGGAGTCTTAATCCTGCTAAAGTGAGATGTTAACATGGAAGCATCTGAAACATCTTCAAATTTAAGGTTGGAAATGTTTAGGTGAATGTACGTTTTCAGCCTCAAATGATGAAGATCTGACAGAGAATAAGCTTGGCAGCACACCAGACAGCCACACAAAGCCTCATTAATATTTCTGCCTGCTACATCATCTGCTATTTTGAGCTGAGTTTTTTCCCCCTCGTCACGCGGATCTGCGCTCCGAGGAGATTCAGCCGCAACTTTTCAATTAGGAACCGACTCGTCTGAGACTTCTGGGTTCATTTTCCTTTTTAAAGAGCTCATTCTCCTCCTTCTGGCTTTTTTTTGTGGAACAACAGAGCTCTTTAACGTGATTTATGAACGCAGTTACCCTCAGACGTTGACAGTTCTGGTCGTTTTGGGTTCAGATTATTCTCTAGTGCCTGTGGTCTTTGTTTCTTGGAGCCACAGTCTGGCCGGATGGGGTTCCCATCCTGTTGGCAGATGTGAAATTAGCCGGGTGGGAGCAAAGCCACACAGGCCGGAGTGCCCATTACCAGAGGCCCAGAAAGCCCCGATCGATATCTGCCCCGCCCTCCTTCATCTAATGTCTGCGATTACAGGACAGCTGGCTTCAAATGAGGGAGGGAAAAGCACAGATGGGGGGGGGGGGGATGGGGGAGGGGGGGTTGTACAACTACTCTGCTCCTCATTTGAACTTTAGATGGGCAGACATCAATGTTCAATCCAGAGAAACGCCTTCTGAAATCCGGTGGATGACCGTGCATTTCACACCTGGGCCTTCAGTAGAGCTCCGTCTGAATCAATTCACCCCTCAATAACGATTTTATGGTTATAAAAAGCATCTTATTATGTAGAAATACAGTATAAAGATCAGGGGTGCACAACTCTTCAACTACTGCATCAATAATATCCTCATAAACTCGTAATATTATTTAGAAAAAAAAACACATTTTACTCACTTACTTTTCTTGAAAATGGCCTTGACAGTAAATTTGCCACCAAATCAATTTCTTCTCCTCCTTCAGCCATTGTGGGTTGATAAAATAGCTATTACACCAACACAACTATATTTGGGTTTGTTTGCTAGCTTTGGCTGGTACGCTATCTGACTATCCAATCAGCGGGTGTGAACACAGTGACGTTCCCTTAGGCCTTCTAGAAGGCCCTGGTGTCACCAACCTAAAATCTGATTGGTTAAAGCAACAGTTTAATCAACATTTATTTTCTGTTAGAAGTCAGAACGGATTGTGAAGGCCTCCAGACAGACATCTTTGACTTTGACCCTGCCTAGCAACAAGTGATGGCTGAAATGTGATTGGTTAAATGCTTTTATATGAAAATGCATGTCTGGAAGCAGCACAACCAGGGGAAAAGCTATGAAAGAAAGCGGACGGATCATTTGGAAATATTTAATAAGTATTCATGGACAAAATATAATTAACATCAGTCTGTGATTGAGTTATTTTCTTAGGCCAGCACCACCACTGTTAAATCATAGAAAAACAGAGGGGGGGGGGGTCAGTGAAACAGAGATTTAAACGTCCCCCCCCGCCCAACGTCTTTCTTGACCTCTGATTGGCTGTTTGGTTCACAGGGGAACTCGCTGCTCTTCCTGCCGAATGTGCTGAAGGTGTATCTGGAGAATGGGCAAACCAAGGCCTTCAAATTTGAGTCCAGCACCACGGTGAAGGTACGTTGGACCAGCAGTCCTCAGTTTTTCGGTTTCTGAGGTGAAACTGAGGCTCGTTAAGAAGGTTTGAATCCTACTGGAAACCCAGTTCCTGCTGGATGAGCCAAAGGTCACAGGATTTAATTAATTAATTTAAAGTTACAAAGGAAAAATGATGCATCTGGAGAGCAAACTGATCAGAAACCAACAGTTTAAAGGGGACATATTATGCAAAACCCAGTTTTTATTCATTTGATTATGTACATTTGGGACTGTGGAGGGCCTATCAGCAGGCAAAGTGTAAAAAAAAAGGACTCAGTCATGTTTTTGTGGGCCGCCTCAGTCTGAATTCAGGAGATAAATCAGGAGGTTTCAGGAGTGGGTAGTTTCTGACGTCATTAGCTCTAGCTCATTATAATATTCCAGCCTTTCACCTGCATGTTGCCCCCCCCCTCAGCTTACTCCGCCTATCTGTGGAGACGTCCTGGTAGCGTGAGCGTTAGCATGGTAGCGTGGTAGCGTTAGCATGGTAGCGTTAGCGTGGTAGCGTTAGTGTGGTATCGTTAGCGTGGTAGCGTTAGCATGGTAGCGTTAGCGTGTCGACGTGGGCACACCTCCCTGAAGAAGTGGATGGATTGCCTGTGTCTCATTTGCATTTAAAGAGACAGGCACTCCAAAGCGAGCGCTCTGAACGGGGCTGTTTTGGGTTAGGGTTAGGGTTAGGGTTAGGGTTAGGCAGGGGGGCTGAACTGCTATTGGGCTTCATCCTTATGGGATTTTGACCAAAGCTTGTCACAGACGTTACATTAGGACACCAGGGAACTAGCTTAACGTGTTGAAATAGGGTCTAATATGTCTCCTTTAAGCTGGCGTCTCAGGCTTTGGTCTCCTGTGCTCTCCAGGACATCGTGATGACCCTGAAGGAGAAGCTCTCCCTGGGTAGAATCGAACACTTCTCCCTGGTGCTGGAGCAGCAGCTCAGCAGCAGCAAGCTGCTCCTGCTCCACGAGGAGGAGCGGATCCAGCAGGTAGGAACAGGGAGGCACGCTAACCTTAACCCTGACCCTAACCCTAACCTTAACCCTGACCCTGACCCTAACCCCGACCCTAAGCCTTACCCTAACCCTGACCCCTTAACCGTAACCCTGACCCTAACCTAAACCTGAACCTGACCCTAACCCTAACCCTGACCATGACCCTAACCCTGACCCTGACCCTAACCCTAAACCTGACCCTGACCCTAACCCTAACCCTAACCCTGACCATAACCCTAACCCTGACCCTAACTCTAATCATAACCATAACCCTGACCCTAATCCTAACCCTAACCTTGACCCTAACCCTAAACCTGACCCTAACCCTGACCATGACCCTAACCCTAAACCTGACCCTAACCCTGACCATGACCCTGACCCTAACTCTAACCTTGACCCTGACCCTAACCCTAACCCTAACCCCCGTGGGCTGAGCTTCCTTCAGGCTTCCCACCACGTGTCTCCGCCCCCAGGTGGTGCAGAAGAAGGAGGCCCATGACTACAGGTGTCTGTTCCGGGTTTGCTTCATGCCCAAAGACCTCCAGAGGCTGCTGAAAGATGACCCCGTGACCTTTGAGTACCTCTACCTGCAGGTGGGCCAGTGCTCCTCAGATGGCTTTTTTTACTCATTAATTATCACAATTCCCCCCTTTTTCTCTAAGTTGTAACTTTTGCTAATGTTTCTGAAACACACGCCCAAAGAAAATGAATGCTCAAAGAAAATGAACAGTCGGTTTGGTCTAACGTGCAGAAATAATCGTTATAGATATGAGTTAGAGTCCAGTGGAGGAGGGGGGGTTTAGGTTTCAGGTTTTTGGGCCCCAGAGCTGCCCACCTCTGGGTGAGTGGGGATGAAAAGCAGATCAAATGCGGAACATTTTAACACGTTTCTTACATAATCCGGCATTTCCAAACTCTTAAAGATGGCTCACAGGAAGCTACAGATTAAAAACTAGTCAGAATTCCTCTGGTTCCTGTTTTTTTCCTACACAATGCTGAGCCTCAGCTCTTTTCTTTGGCCTCCATCTGCTTCATGTTTGATTCTTCTAATAAATCTGCACCGATCTACATGGAAACATCCAATCATGGCAAACAGCCCGTAAATGATCCAAACTTTCACATCAGCAGAAAAGCACTCAGTCAGTTAGCTTCAGCTGAGTCTAAATAGGGTGTATAAACCCCCAAATTGTGTAGAAATTTGCATAAATCTCTTTATTAGGATTTTCTCAGTCTAGCTGAAAACAAACAAAAATGCTTTAGATAACAGTTAGTTCACAAACCAGCTGGGTTTGAAATGTGTCAGATGTGATGAAATGGTTTCCCTGTGGTGTCTTTAGTCTTATTCGGTCCGGTTTGTTGGTTCTGTGCTGTCAAACTGACCCAAACGTGCGCGTCAGGGCGTGAACGACGTGCTGCAGGAGCGCTTCGCCGTGGAGATGAGGTGCAACACGGCCCTGCGGCTGGCCGCGCTGCACATCCAGGAGCGGCTGGTCAGCTGTGGACAGTCCCCCAAAGCCAACCTGAAGACCATCACGTGAGGGACTCACGCTTATTTACACTTATTTTTGTTTATTTCTGCATATTTCTGTTTATTTCCGCTTATTTCTGATTATTTACGCTTATTTGCGCTTATTTCTGCTGATGTCTGCTTTTTTTCTATTTATTTCCCCTTATTTCTGCTTATTTACGCTTATTTCTGCTTATTTACGCTTATTTCTGCTTATTTACGCCAGAGTCGGAGCCTAAACCAAAGCACTACCTGCCAGTAGTTCAATCCATATTCAGTATTTATCTCTTCTGTCTTTAATTAAGAATATACTAGCCATGACTTGACCACAGATAGTTATATATACCTGTTTTTATTACACATAAACTTCACAAATGCAATGTTAGAATAGGTAGAATTAAGTGAATGATCTCCAATAAAACAGTCATTACCGATTTAAGGTTGCATTACATTACATTTCCTCATTAAGCAGAAGCTCTTATCCAAAGTGACTCTTTAGTGAAGAGCATCGAGCTTCAGTGGAGTCAGAAACCACTGCAATGACCATTAAGATCTCAATCAATCTGAGCGTAGAAGGAGTTTAGAAACGTGAAGTAAACCTGAGTTGGAGATGCTGAAGGAGGAGAGTAAAGGCAGAGAGAGATGCTCCATAGCCGGCAGATTCCTTAACCCTTTTAAGCCTGATCCAAGCAAAATAGGAAGAATATTGGATTTTTTTTTGTCTGAAGTCTTTCTTTGGCCCCTCAACAACATCTGAAGAAAAAAACAGAAATTATTTGATCAAATTAGCGTGCAATAAGTAAAAAAATATATATTGGTGTAGTCTTCTACTGGCTGTTATCAGGTATATCTGAATGTGTACAACAGGGGTTTGAGCAAAGCTTTTACCACTGAATGATGCAAAAAGTCTCAGATCCAAAAGACTTCAGAAACCGAATGTATCAAATATGACACATTTGGCATTATAGGGTTAAAACTCAGAGCTCAGACCGTCCCTCCTTAGCTCAGCCGTCCGTCCCCAGGCCGACTCTCACTCCCGAACCCCTGTGCTTTCTGCAGGAAGACCTGGGGAATAGAGAACTTTGTGTCGTCCACCCTGCTGAGGAACATGCGGGAGAAGGACCTGAGGAAGGCCATCGGCTACCACATGAAGAAGAGCCAGTCGCAGCAGGACCCCAAGCTGAAGAACATGTCCGTGGACCAGGCCCGGATCCACTACCTGGAGGAGCTGAGCGAGCTCAAGTGCTTCGGGGGGAAATCCTTTGGTGCCACCATGATGGTAAGACTTCCACCCGCTCACCTGTTAGAAACATCAGCCGAGCAAAAGCTAAGCAGACTGTAAACCGGGAACACACATATAGAAAACGGCTTCTTCTAAAGACACTTTTAACGGGGAGGCATTACGTCATTTGGAAAGATTTGAAATAAAGACAAAAACATCAGAACCAGTCAGTGAAACCTGCTTTCATCTGTATGGAAACACGAAGGGAACAAGAGGGTTATTACACCACAACGTAGAAGCTCTTTAGCCCAAACTATATCTATCAATACCTTTTCAAATAAAAACTTTATAAAATAAGAAACAACAAAGTTATATCTGATCAAGATTCTAAAATCTATTTATTTCCTGATATTCCTGAGTAGAAAATGTATTTGTATTGTCAGTTTGTCCTTTTTTTGGGCTGAAATTTGGGGGGAAAAGGTGGATTTTGCTTTGAAATTATGATGAGCTGAAAATGGTGAAACACTTAGAACTGCTTTAAATGTCAGAGTGAGTTAAATCTCCTCCTCTCTGAGACAAAGAAGAGACCCAAATTGTCCTCGGTTTGCTTTGGAGTCTGTTGCAGAGAGCCGTTTTTCCAAAACCAGCCAGGAAAGAGGCAGCAAACGAAGTAATCTGAAGCAGCAGAGACAGAAGGAAGAGCTCTGCTGAAGGCCTCTAGATCAGAGAACGTCTCCAGAAGGACGGATGGAAGGAGGCTGAGAGGGAAGCCGAGCGGCTGAGAAACCGATTCTGAGGCCTGCAGACGTACACCAAATAACCAAATAACCCCAGAAACTGTCAGAGAGGAGAAAAAAACCAGCAGAACAAGAAAGGAAGCTGCTACCAGAGCAGGGAGATTAAGTTTAAGCTGATTCTGACTGGAAAAGGAGCATTTATTAAGACTTAAATTTTATTTTTAAAGGGGTTTTTAACAGCTTTTTGAAAGATCTCTTCAAATATCTGCGTCTCTTCTTGTGGCCCGCAGCTCCAGGACCGGGAGTCCATGGTGACCCTGCTGGTGGGAGCGCGCTACGGGGTCAGTCAGGTGGTCAACCACAAGCTGAGCATACTGACCACCCTCACCGAGTTCTCCAGCATCACGCGCATCGAGCTGCTGCCCGAGTCCGAGAAAGTCAGCCTGGTCAAGATCTACCTGCAGGACATCAAGGTGAGACGGGGGGGGAGACCCCAGATGTGCCCAAAAAAAGCACAAAAAGCCAAAGAAGAGCAAGCTAAGATCCTTTTTGGCTCCCAGTCTGACAGCATCTGTGTCCTCTCTTTGCCCGAAGCCCATCACGTTGCTTTTGGAGGCAGCGGCGGCCAAAGACCTGTCCTGCCTGATATCGGGCTACTGCCGCGTGTTTGTGGACCCCAGCCTCAACATCTTTCCCTGGATGGACGACAAGAGGCACCGAGTGTCTGCAGAGGAAGGTACAGAGGCACGAAAGCTCCCAACAGACAGTCAGTTCTTTGATGTTTAATGCAGGGTTTGAAATGGGGGGGCGCATCCTTTACTGTCCGGGCGTGGGAAAATCAAAACCTGTTAGCCTGTTTTTACATCAAATACATCGAAAATAAACAGGGATTCAACAAAAGAAAAGTTTTCATTTGAAATTCATCCTCCGGCCACATTATCTTTTGGCCTATTTTGGGCTGATGTGGGTCAGTTTGGGGAGGCTTTGGACCAGTTTTGGACCAGTTTAGCCCCCTTTTGGACCGGTTTGTGTTAGTTTTGGGTTAGTTTGGGTCCATTCAGACCAGTTTGGGTCAATTTTGGACCGGTTTGGGTCCATTTTGGGCTGGACTGGGTTGGTTTGGATGAGTTCGGGTCAGTTTTGGACCAGTTTAAGTCCGTTTTGGACCAGTTTGGGTCCCTCTTGGGCTGGATTGGGTTAGTTTGGGTCGTGCGCTCAGCTCCGTGGAGTCTAATGGGTTGGAACATGAAGTTTTCATATCAAATACATGCAAAATAAACAGGGAATCAACAAAAAAAACGTTTTAATTTGAAATGCATCGTCCCTCCATGTTATCTTTTGGCCTATTTTGGGGTCAGTTTGGGCAGGCTTTGGACAAGTTTTGGACCGGTTTAGCCCCCTTTTGGACTGGTTTATGTTAGTTTTGGGTTAGTTTGAGTCCATTTTGGACCAGTTTGGGTCCGTTTTGGACCAGTTTGGGCCCCTTTTGGGATGGATTGGGTTAGTTTGGGTCAAACATGCCAGTTCCTCAGCTCTCCTTAAGAGCCGAGGAACTGGCTGCCTGAAAACATCTCTCTGTAGCCTTTTTCTTCTCCTTTACTTTAGTTGTTTGGATTTAGATGGTCCTGAGCAGCTAGAAATAAAGTACAAGAACAAGTAGAGGTCCTTTGACCAGGTGATAGCCGGTTAAAGGAAATGTTTCCCCCCATTTAAGGTTTTTATCTTCTTTCCTTTCCTCGAGCTCAGGGCTTAAAGTGACGTGCACATGCTCTCTTCCAGGTTACGTGTCTCGGTGTGGAAGCGACTCCGACTCCTCCTCGGACCTGGACGCGGAGCCGCTGCTCAGCCTGGCGTCCCAGGACGACAGGCCCCGCCCACGCGTGCGCTCGTCCTCCGACCCGGACGGCCGGAAACGGAAAGACCGGCACCGGTGGAGAACCAGGGACGGCCGGGAGAAGCTGGACAAAGCCCGGGAGGGCCCCAAGTGCCCGGAGGAGAAGGACGCCGGCACCGAAAAGGAGACGGTTCCCCCGGAGACGAACGGCGAGGAGCCGGTCCAGATCCAGATAGTGGACGGCAACCCGCAGGGACAAAAAGGCGGAGGGGCGGCGGAGGAGCCGGTGTCTGTGTCCGAGGCCTCCGACTCCTGTCAGACGGACTCCCGCGTCCTCACCAGCCCCTCCAGCGACTCCCTGGACGCCCTGGAGGAAGACGACCTGGTCTCCTGCTCCTCTTCCTCCGCCCGCCCCTCCTCACAGACGAACTCCTGCCCCCCCCTCCCCCTCCAGCTGCACCCCCCCTCGGACCGTTCTGCCCATCCTCACTTCCTGCTCCCTCCCCCCGCCCACTCGCACCCCCTCATCCAGCTCCCGGCCGTGGGCAGGCCGGGAGGAAGAGGAGGCTGCAGGAGGTCGGGCGACGGGGCGGACCCCCGCCTCCTGGCGCCCGGCTTAGGCTCCGCCCCCTCGCCGCTCGGCCCGGACGACAGCTCCTTGTGCTTCGCCGAGCTCTCCCTGCTGGTGGACCTGCTGCCCAGCCCGCCCGAGGCCAGCGAGGAGGAGGACGAGGAGGAGGAGCAGGAGGAGGACAGGAGGGAGAGCGGCGGCGGCGTGCGGAGAGCGGCGGGCGAAGGGGGCGGGGCCTCCGCCTCGCCGTCCTCGCCCTCCTCCCACTCGGACTTCGTGTTCAGCTTCAGCCAGAGCGACGCGCGCTGCTACTACAGCCTCTGCTCCAACATCACCCCCGACAGCGCCCGCAGCCTGCCCCGCCCACAGCACCTGGAGCTGCGGGGGGGCTGGGGGGAGGGGGCCCAGGAGGCCCGGGAGAACCAGGACAACCAGGAGAACCAGGGGGACCAGGGGGACCCGGATGCCCAGGAGGACCCGGAGCCCGTCCCCATCCTCCACCCGCCCCCCGGCTTTGGGGACAGCAGCTCGGACGAGGAGTTCTTCGACGCCAGGGACCGTTTCACCTCACCTGAGGACCCCACGTCGGGCGCCGTGCCCAGAGGTGACTCCAGAGTTCACTCAGAGGCTCAACGCCACGCGCTTCTGCTTTATTTATCACGTAGAAAAGGTCAATTCCAGCTTTGCTGCCACCTGGTGGCCGAAGCCTCAACTGCTTAAAAAGCTGAAGCAGGCTCGTAAAAAGTGAATGTTTTTCTCCACAAAACATGAAAAATACATTAGCTGTGCTTTAAAATTAGCGGACGGCTTTAGTTTTAATGTAAAATGTTATGTAACTTTCCCTTTTATTCCGTAGGCTGTATTTTCTTGTTTTTCTAAAGAGAAATTCATTACTTTACTGGCTGACGTCACATGCTCAGGTCATCACACCATTTGTCCCATTAAGGTTTTTTGGGGCGTTTTTTGTTCTTTTACTTCAAGCAAGCCTCAAATTGATTTAAAAATCAAAAATATAAATTGTGAGACTGACTCTCTGACGGCCGATGCTGCCTAAACACACACAAAACACACATTCATTGATCTTATTGATCACAAGAGCAGTTATTTTATATGGACCTGTGTTAAGACCCATCGTGAAACATGATAGCCGCTCAGCTCAGTGGATAAGCATGAAACATCTTTATGATCTGATTCATTCATGTTTCATAGAAGCAATGAATTATATAGATCATTCACACACACACACACACAGAGACACACAGATAAGTGTTGTTACCTCTCCAGTTTGAATGGCACAATAAATTAAAGATGAGGAGGTAGAGCTTTAGAGATCTGAAGCACCATAAGCCACTTTTAATGTGTTTAACTCATCCAAATTAGTAATTTTTTTCATCATATGACACAAAGGAAATGTTTACATTCACAATTAAAAGAAATGAGACTTTCCATAATGAGGGAAAGGCTACAGAATGCTTATATAATAATTGAATATGATCAAATATTACATTAAAATGTTCATGTTTATTGGGATTCTTCTCTAAGAGGGCTTTAAATCTCTGTTGTTTCTTCATATTCAATCAACACCCTTTTTGTCCAAACTATTGGATTCCAGACAATTTCATGAAATACTTCTGGTCTATTAAATATTTTAGGAATAAATCCTTTGAATATTTTCATTTCATATTGTTAGTTTTATGTTGGATCTGGAAGTTTAGACTTTTTAAAAACTTTTTAACATCGCCTTAAGAGCCAAACTTGGCCAGTTTTGAAAAGATCTCATCAAAGTATCCGTGGAAAAATGCATATATGTGTGACGCAGATAATACTACATTATTTAAGAAACAGAAACATTCAAGCGTCAGACCCAAATCTCAAGGAGAGTGCTGGTGATAATCTTCTTGCTGCTTCTCATTTAGCCGTCAATCTACAGATATAAGGAGGAGAAACAAGCGAACGCTGTAACTCGTTTTTGGCATTTGCTTTTGTGTGTTGTTGCCTTCTCCCGGACACCCAAACCGGCCGGTCTGATCCTGTTTTTCTGTGCCGTTTTGCAGATGCTCGCACCCGGATGAGGCTGGGCCTCCTCGGCACGCTGAGCCTGAACGACATCAGCGTGTCGGTGGAGGACGGTGAGCCGGCCGCTGACCGGAGGCCGGCGCCGGAGGAGGAGGGGGGCGGCCGGGAAACGCTGCTGCACCTCCGGAAAAGGTCCCGGAAGCGCCGCTCCTTCATGGAGACCGACTTCACCTCCCGGGTGACGTATCCGTATCCGGACCCGGATCCGGAATCCAAGCACAACCCGACCTCCGACCGGCTCCTCGGACACGTCTCGGCCGGGGTGAACCACGGCCAGATGCTGGCCTCGGACCCGGAGCCCTCCGAGCAGAGCCAGAACCCGAGTCCCACCGTCTCCTCGCTCACGCACGCCGAGGGGGAGCCGGCCCAGCTGGAGGCCAAACCCATCCCCTCCAAAGCCCACCCCCCGGGGCCGGACCTGAAATCCCCCTCCAGGAAACAGGAGATGGAGATGGAGCCGGACACCATGGAGTCCAAATCGGTGACGGACCTGGTGGCGGCGGCCCCCCCCACCATCACCGTGGTCCGCTGTCGGGTGGACCCGGACGGGAAGGAGAGCGCCGACCGGCGGGGCGACGGAAAGGAGGAGGGGGAGGGACGGGACGGGGCGGGGAAGGAGGACCCGTCCAGCCTGAAAGGGCCGTTCTCCAGCCACATGTTCCTGCCCGCCGCCCCCCAGAGGAGCGAGCAGGGGGGGGGGCAGGACAGAGGGCCTGAGGGGACTTTCCCCCAGCGTGGAGAGGCCGCTTTTAGGGGCCGAGGCTCCGGCTTCCCGGTCGCCTTCCCCACAAATAAACGCCCACGGGGAGGATTTTATACCCGGATCCTGTCCTCCCCCTGCCCCCCCTCCGCCCTCCCCTCTGCCACCCGTCCACGACTCTGAAAAGGTGGAAACCGAGTCAGAACAGGAGGACGAGAGCCCAGAGGGAGGTGACCAGGCCCCCGACGCCCAGCCCCACCCAGCAGCGGCCCCCAGCATGAAGGACGAGGAGGCCCCCGAATCCACGGTAACGGACAGCACCAACTCTGACGACGTCTTCGAGGATGAGGAGGACGAAGACGCTGAATCCAGCTCCTCAAACGATGGCTGGGGCGATCAGATGGAGGAGGGGGTCGCATCTGCGAAGCGTCCGGAGTCTCCCCCGGACTCCGAGGCTCCGGCAGGAAGTCCGGTCAGCTCCCACTACACTCTGGCCATCAACGCCATCACGGCCAAGCTGGGCGCCGCCACCAGCATCACGTCCCCGACCTTCACCTCAGGGCTGAAAACCGAGGCCCCGCCCCAGAGCGCCCCCCCGGATCCAGTCCAGAGCCTGAGGAAGGCTCACACCCCCCACTTCCACGACGCCTCCAGGGAGCCGGCGGCCGCCGCCCACTTCCTGTTCCAGACCTGCTCGCCCGCCTTCATGGGCCGGCTGTCCGCCTCCACGCTCAGGGGGAAGATCCAGAGTCTGCCCCTGTATCTGTCGCGCTCACAGGACGGCCTGAACCGGGCCGGGGATGGGAGCCCCGCCCAGAGTCCCGCCCAAAGCCCCGCCCAGAGCCCCGCCCAGAGCCCGGCGGAGGGCGGCCAGAGGGGCCTCCCAGAGGTCACCATCAGCGTGACGGACGTCCACGACGTCACGCAGACGCTGGACCTGGACGCCGGCGCGGAGGGGGACTCTGCCGAGTCGGACGATTCGGACGCCACGCTGACCGGATCCGAGGTGGACGGGGAGTTCTTTGTGGAGACGGCCTCAGCCAAGAGTTTTCCAGCCGAGTTAAAAGAAGCCAGCGGTCAGGAGCCGGTCCAGACTGAGCCCAAACGCCAGGACCAGGGTCAGCTTGTAGATCAGCCCCTAGAACAGCCTCTGGGTCAGAATCTGGTTCAGAATCACGTTCAGCCTCTGGGTCAGAATCTGGTTCAGCCTCTAGTTCAGAATCAGGTTCAGCATCTGGGTCAGCCTCTGGTTCAGCCTCTGGGTCAGCCTCTGGGTCAGAATCAGGTTCAGCCTCTGAGTCAGAATCAGGTCCAGCCTTTGGGTCAGAACCTGGGTCAGCCTCTGGTCCAGCCTCTGCACGCCGGGCTGAACCAGAGCACGCCGGGGCCTGTAACGGAGCCCCCGGCCTCCATAGTGAGCCTCCTCCAAAGAGACTTCTTCCCTGGACCCATAAAAGACCCAAGCATAAAAACCAGAGCCCCAGAGGAAGTCCCAGCTACCAAACCGAGCCCTCCTCTAGGAACTGCTACCAAAACGAACCCTCCTCTAGGTCCAGCTACCAAACCGAGCACTCCTCTAGGAACTGCTACCAAAACTAGCCCTCCTCTAGGTCCAGCTACCAAACCGAGCCCTCCTCTAGGAACTGCTACCAAAACTAGCCCTCCTCTAGGTTCTGCTACCAAAACTAGCGCTCCTCTAGGTTCTGCTACCAAAACCAGCCCTCCTCTAGGTTCTCCTACCAAAACAACCTCCTCATTAGGTTCTCCTACCAAAACAAACCCCCCTCTAGGTTCTCCTACTAAGACTAGCCCTCCTCTAGGTTTTCCTACCAAAACGAGCTCCCCTCTAGGTTATTCTACCAAAACGAGCCCTCCTCTAGGTTTTCCTACAAAAACAAACCCTCCTCTAGGTTCTCCTACCAAAACTAGCCCTCCTTTAGGTTCTTCTACCAAAACAAACCCTCCTCTAGGTTCTCCTACTAAGACTAGCCCTCCTCTAGGTTATCCTACCAAAACGAGCTCCCCTCTAGGTTCTCCTACTAAAACTAGCCCCCCTCTAACTTCTCCTACCAAAACAAACCCTCCTCTAGGTTTTCCTACCACAACGAGCCCTCCTTTACGTTGTTCTACCAAAACAAGCCCTCCTCTATGTCCTCCTACCAAAACGAGCTCCTCTTTAGGTTCTCCTACTAAGACGAGCCCTCCTCTAGGTTTTCCTACCCAAACAAGCTCCCCTCTGGGTTCTCCTACCAAAACAAGTCCTCCTCTAGATTCTTCTACCAGAACGAACCCTCCTCTAGGTTTTCCTACCAAAACGAACCCTCTTCTAGGTTTTCCTACCAAAACGAACCCTCCTCTAGGTTCTTCTAACAAAACAAACCCTCCTCTATGCTCTCCTACCACAACAAGCTCCTCTTTAGGTTCTCCTACTAAGACGAGCCCTCCTCTAGGTTTTCCCACCAAAACCAGCTCCCCTCTAGGTTCTCCTACCAAAACAAGCTCCTCATTAGGTTCTCCTTCTAAGACGAACCCTCCTCTAGGTTTTCCCACCAAAACCAGCTCCCCTCTGGGTTCTCCAACTAAAACGAGCCCTCCCCCAGGTCCGGCCCCTCCCGCGGTGGTGGTGACGACGCAGAGCCTGAACGGGCCGGGCTTCCCCTTCCACGGTCAGTCTCAGAGAGTAGCGAAGGCCAGTAGTGAGAGGCCCCTAGTGGGGCTGTGTAGGCCCTGGGGGCAGCAGCCCGACTCACCGGGGGGGCTCTCCGCCGGCTGCAGGGTGTCCACCGTCTGCGAGGCTCCGGCCCGGGGGGGGGGGCCCGCCCCGCCGCTGAAGCCCGGCTTTGGCTGCGGCCCGGCGCTGGCGTCCGGGTGCGAGTCCCTGGCGGAGGGGGTGCAGCCCCCCCTGGAGGCCTGCGGCTGCCCACCCGCCTACACCAACTGCTTCGGGGGGGAGGAGGACGCCTTCGACGAGGAGCTGACCGTCTACGAGTTCTCCTGCCGCGCCCAGATCTCCGCCGGGGGCCTCCCCCTCATCACCTCCCCCCCCCCCCCCCCCTCCTTCCCCCCCCCCCCCCTCCGCCCACTCCCCCTCCTTCCCGCGCTCCATCCTCTTCTCCTCCGAGCTCAGCCCCCTGCTCTCGCCCTTATCCACCGACCCAGACCCAGACCCCCTGGGCCAACTGGGCCGGGGGGAGTACCCGGACCCCCCCGGGGGCTTCCAGCTGCTCCGCCTGGACGTGGACAAGCTGCTGGGGGCCCTGGAGGGCGGGCCGGCCGACCGCCGCGGCGGGCGCCACCCGCGGGACGCCTGCCCCCGCCACTTCACGGAGAGCAAGCGGCTGCTGCAGCTGGAGGCGCGGCGGCTGACGGCGGGCTGCCAGCGGGCGGCGGCCGGCGGCCAGAGCCCCCCCGACATGCTGCGGGCGCTGGCCGGCAGCTTCCGCACGCTGGTGGAGCTGGCCGGCGTCTGCCTGCGCCTCTCCGGCTGCCAGCGCTGCGACCGCCGCAACGGCGAGGCGGCGGCCGGCCTGGCCGACGTGGCGCGGGCCTTCCGGGACTTCTGCCTGGCGGCGGAGCGCGCCAGCGGCCGCCGCGGCTGCCGGGACCTCAGCCGCAAGCTGCTGGCCAAGCAGTGCACGGCGCTCACCGCCTCCGTCTTCTGCCTCACGCAGCTGTTCCGCACCCTCACCGCCCTGTGACCGACGGCAGGAGGAAGCTAAGGAGGGATGCCACAACGCCACACACATCCAGGTCGGACATTTTGATTAGGTCACCAACAGGAAGATCCCAGGCAAGAAAATGGTAATTGACTCATGGCATTATAAGTATTAATTTAGAAATAGTTAAATTAATCTGGCAAACACTGAATTAAACTCTATACATAATAATATGTTAAAATAGTGGATGTTAAATAGGTTTGTACAAAAACTCCAAACAAGTTTAACCAAAAAATATTTATTACTCACAATTATGAAGGGTGGAGGGTTAGGGTTAGGGTCAGGATTAAGGTTGGGTTTAGGGTCAGGGTTAGGGTTAGGTTTAGGGTCAGGGTCAGGGTTAGTGTTAGGGTTAGGGTCAGGGTTAGGGTCAGGGTTAGGGTTAGGGTCAGGACATCGTTTGTCTTTTGATTTCGTATTGACAGTAAAGTTTCGTTTCCACCTCAGAAAGCTGCTAGTCACATGACCTAATCAAAATGGCCGACTTGGATGTGGGAGGAGTTGGATATCCAGCCGAGGCTCCTACAGACTGCAGCCAGAGGCTATTCACCGGGGGGCGGAGCTACAAGAACCCCACAGACACAAAAGAAGCACAGAGTCCTGGGAACTGAAGTACTTGAATGTATCTGTTGGTTTTATTCATTCCTTTGGCTTATTTATTTATTTATTTGCCGAGCTGCCGTGGCCGGCTGATCAGAGACACACAAGAGGAGCAGTTTTTTAGCCAAGGACACGGTCACAGAGTAAATGTGTGATGCTTCCGGGATTCCCAGTCCCAGTATCTGCTGATCTTCTCTGGAGAAGACGATGAGGACATCGGCCGTGGGGACTATTTGAATGTTGCTGTTTACAAAACCAAAAAAACTAGCGGGAGAAAGGATCCGAGTCCAGCCTGAAGGCGTTTTATAACCCCAGCGTCGGGGTCCGTGGACGAGCTCCATTCAGGGTCGGGGCAGGTCTGCACGCACATTTCCAGGAAATGCGATGCAACAAACAGCTTTTCTCTCTCAAAAAGCTGCACCTTCTGTCCCCCCCCCCCCCCCCGCAGTTCCAGGCCGAACCCTCTCGTGCATGATGGTACCGTCAACCCTGTTTTTCCTTTTCATGATTTATTTATTTTTCTATGTGGTGCGGACATATGCATGGAGGCCGAGAGTCTCCAGACCGTAAAAGAAGGTTGATAATAATAATAATAAGTATTTATAGAATGTTCCATAGTTTTATGACAGCTTTTCATGAGTTTCAGACTTTGTTTCAAGATGACTGAAACCTGCACACCTCCGTTTGAGCTCTGAGACACAGATTTCTACGAACCTGTCTCCTACACTAAGTGCTTTATTACTGCAGATGACCACAAATAGTAGTAATCCAGTGAACGAAATTTGGTCACAGATTGCCCAAACAGAGCATGATTACCGTATGCAGTATTACGTCTGGACCGTTCGAGCTTCAGCAGCCTTTGACTGACCCTCCGCGTCGGCAGGAGGACATAAAGCCGGTCCAGTGATAAACACCGTTCCACACTGATTTGCTTAGAGCGTATTTTAGTGGATGAGCTGTTGCGCGGCGGCAGCTTCACGAGGAATGTTTCTTAGAATAAAAAAGCCTTGACGCACACTGGACCTGCATGTTCACAGGAACAACTCACCACTCCAGTCTGGGAACACGACAAAATGCTGACTATTTATATTTCTAAAGAATGAGTTTGTTCACTTGTAGTGTTTGGTTCCATTTGGCTGCATCAGAATATAGTTTCTTGTACTTTACTCGCGGTTTGCATCAGTGAGGAACTCGTCCTCTTTTTACCACATCCTCCATCTGGAAATGGTCTCAAACCAGTAAAGGAATGGGTTCCTTTCGGATCGTCGATGCTCACCAAGCATGCCGTTACAAGCCATAAAACTCTTGTTTTATCAGGGATTTTATCTGTGAATGACTGAGTCGTGAGGTCTGCTCTTGCTTTGTAACCTTCAACCCACCATTAAAAACATCGTTAAGATCTGTTCATGATGTCTTCACTGCTCATTCAGCCACCCTCATCTCAGCAGGGGGCCGAACGGAGTCGCACACCTTTGTCATGTGACCACCAGAGAGTCCAAAAAAGGCCCCGGCGTCTGACCTCAGGTCTGTCCAGGTGTGTGTTGGGCAGGAGGAGGACAGTAAACTGTGGAGGGTTGAAATATGATGGCTGATCGGAGTATAAATAATAATAATAATATATGAATGATCCCGTTTGGCTTAACCAAGAATGTATCAATCCATCAAGAAGCTGAGAAAAGTGTGTCAATCAATAATGTTTTATTTCTGAAGCATCAATAAGCGTAGTTCATTATCTCTTTAAAAGCACCATCATTCATCTCAATCAAAGTCTGATTAACTTTTAGATAATTACCTCCATTCACATCAAACTAATTTAAGTTGGTTAAACCGATGAAGAATCATCTTTGTACGGGTGTCTTTTTATAATCCAGAAATAAGGGTGTCTTTTTATAATCCAGATATAACAGATTAAGGAAGCAGAAGAGATCATCAAACTTGAAGGTGAGTTTTTACAGTTTTACAGGTGGCTAACCCCCAAGTTGTACTTTTACTCACAGGGATAAAACCGCGTTACTCGTCTTTCTGTGAGCTCTTTGTTATTTTTGTGTGCTCAATGTCATTATTGAATACCTGAATTAAGTGGATGCAAGTCCAGGATGGTCATTGGCTCTTTCCAGGTGACGTGTTGTACATGCTTTATTTGCAGAATTGCGTTATTCTTATACTTTTAACTGCCATAAATTTCAAATGAGCGTTTAAATAGTCTATCGTATCTCAGCTGTCATTGTTGATTTAGACCAAAAACGGTTTACTATTAACTCGGTTTTATTAGCTTGAAAACGTAGAAACAGGAGATAATGAACCATCGTCAGTACCTGTGAAAATTAAATAACACAATTAATCTATTTTTCAGCGGTAAAAACTAAACTTTTAATTAATTTCAGGACGCAGTTTGCGTTGTGTGACGTCAGATGTAGCCGTTGGGCTAAACAAGCTAGTGGCTAACGTTAGCTACATTATAGACAGATTTAGGTGGTTTATACTTTATAATAAGCCTTAAATCCCTCACAAAATGTCCTAAAACATTATATTAAATTAAATTTGACAATAATGAGTTGGCTAAAGCTAGAAGTCTTTACATTTTCATCCGTTTGGGCAGTTAGACTGTTAGCCTCCCCGAACAGAAAAGTATTGCAGCTAACATATTAGCCGGCAGTTGGCTTCATTTGTAGCTAATAATGGCAGATGGAGGTGTTATTTTAGATTTATTTTGGGAGACGTGTGTGTTTAAAAGACCCAAAACGATCGTGTTTGGTTCACCTGGGAGTATATAATCAATATTTCAGAATTGTTTTTTCTATAGTCAGAGCACTTAGTTGCATTATTTAGCTGAATGTATCATCCCCAAATTATATTAAGGGTGTGATGATGGTATTTCTTGGGTTCATCTGGAAAATGTTGGTGAAACACTTTAAAGTCACGTTGGCCGGTCGGAGGGACCTTGGAGCCGGAATTGTGTCGATAATCTGTCAGATAATCTGGATTAGGCCTCCTAACTGCCGCTGTCTGTCGTGTCTGCTGTCGGCCGGTCGCTTTAACGGGCTGAGAAACATGGAAAAACATGGAAAAAACACTTATTTACAAGACAAACACGAGGAAAATGGCAGAAAAGTGCGTCTCTGAGGTAAAAGTGCCATTATTAGTGTTCATATTTGGAGATGACAGAAGTTTTCTTTTGCTTTTTGTCGACATGTGATAAATTTTGATGATTGAACAGAGTTTGAATGGAACTTTGAGCAAATGGAGCTGATAAATAAGCATTAATTTGATATCTTTTTATGTTTATTATATTTAAACAAACTGCCTAAATGAGTAAAAGTGGGTGAGTGAAACATATTCTAATGTATTTCTTACTACTAAGAGTCCAGACCACCAATCCCGGTGTAATCCCTGTGTTGTGGCAGATGTTTCATTATGTCATTATTGCAGCTGCTCTGGGATTTATCTCACATCTCACATCTGTCACCCTGATGATAATGGACCCAGAGGCAGACAGCCCCGGTTGACCACTGAACAGCCCGTTTAGTCTGAGCTGAAGCTGGAGCGGCTGCACGTTTTCCTTCTCTTTCCTCAGAAATAAAGAGCTGACTCTGCCACACCGAGAGCAGGCCGAGTGTCCGGTGGGGAGAAGGGACGGCTGGAGCTTTTTTCTGCCGGGACGTGAGCGGGACGGAGCGGGCCATGCGGGGGTGCGGGGCCGGGGCCAGGCCGCGCCACTGGCTGACGCTGCTCTCCGGGATGCTGGAGTGTCTGGGCTTCGCAGGGGTGGTGTTCGGCTTCGCCTCCCTGGTGTTTGTGCTGAAGGAGGAGGGGTACTTCGGCGAGCTGTGTGGCAGCCCCTCCAACAGCAGCAGCGGCCTGCCGCTGACCGGTGAGCAACTCTGGGGCCGTAGCTGGAAAACGCTGTGCACATTTTGAACTCTTTTAAACAGCCAGCAATCTGCACCAAAAGCACCAAAACAACAATAGACTCAATTAAGTTTGATTCATGTGGCAAGAAAAGTACAACCAAAAGCAATATTAGAGCAGTTTACACATATAAAACTACCAATTTTTATGTATTTTTTTACTTATTGAGGGTTTTTTTCACAAATCCTGGTCCAAAGAGCTCTGTGAACAAAGGAAACCATCAGTAAGGTAACAGGAATGGTTAGTAAATCCAGAGAAAACGTAGCATATTTCAGAGCAAAAGCAAGTTTTTTAGGCATACAGAAGGGAATAAACATGTTTCTCTGGATGTTTATCAATGATAAACGGACTAGAAAAGGGAGGGTAAACTCTGGTGAACTCGTTTAAAAGAGTTCAATAAGTCAAATAAATCTGCATTTGTAAGGTGTTAAACTGTTAAAATTTATCTCGTAGCCTGCAGCAGTCAGGACGAGCAGTTTTCCATGGTCTTCACCATCGCCTCCTTCCTCAACAACTTCCTGAGTCTGGTCAACGGCTACCTGTTCGACCGCTTCGGCACCATGGTGACCAGGCTGCTGGGGATGTGAGTCCATGCCGGGTTTGTGTCTTTCTCTTGGAAAAAGCAGGCAGCCCCGGAGGCCCTAAAGGTTTAAGTGGTGAACCTGTCGGTCACATGCTGTTTACGATCAGTTTAAGGGTTCTGACTCTGACTTTGAGGGAAGAAGATGAGAGTCAGTTTGGTTGGAAATACAGCAGAACCTCTACATACGAGTTTAACTGGTTCCAGGACCGACTTCTATGTTCAAATATTCGTATGTTGGTTCAAATATTCCAATCAGAATACAGTGTAATTCTTAGAATTGGTTCCAAAAACCTACGATAACTCCTTAATAAATACTGCAGATAATTACACATGGCAATAAAACAAATGACTTATATAAGAGAGATGTAAAAAGAAATAAATTATAAAGAAATAATCAATAGAAAGGGTTTTTATTGGCACTTATTGGTGAACGGAGGTAGATACAGGACGTATCCTAACTTAGCTTATTTATTTTTATTACTTGTAAAATATTTGTATTTATTTTTACTATTTATTCAATATTTTTATTACATTTTTTATATAAATTAATTTTTCTATGACTTCGATGTCATACTTCGAGCATCGAGTCGAATATTTGATCAAATTTCACTTCGGAAGTTGGAAAATTGGTGTTTAGTTGATCGTAGGCAGAGGTTCTGCTGTATGTAGCAGGTCCGTAGTATGGTGTACTGTTGGGGGGGGGGGGGGTCATTCAGGATTAGATCAATAAAAGTGGGGAGGGTCTCACAGAGAGATTACATTCACACACTGACCGTTTGGGTGATGGTCCAGAGACACTTCACTGGAGCTCCCCTCTGAATATTACCCACAAAAAGAGCCAAAAGAAGCATCTAAGATGACATGAGCCTATTATCAGGAAATGCCTTTTTCCCTCACACAGATCTAGTTCTTATCTTGTGTATTGTGAATAAACAGCTAATGCTACTATCGCATTGCGTCTCTCAGGATTCACAAAACAATTTAGCCGGCGTACACTGTGGGATTTGGGATACGATTTTCCCCTGGTGGTAGAATCTGTTGGATTAGGAGTTTCAGCTCCTGGTGTCTCCACCTCCAGATCCACACCGTCTGGTTGGAAGAAAACCAAACCGGTCTGAGTTTCTGATCGGCCCTGGTGAGGGAATCCTGTTATTGAAGCCACGTTAGGACCCGACTCCCCTCCATCTCTGGCCCTGAGTATCAGAGGGATCAGGAAGTTCTGTGAGAGTGTTTGTTGCCTCCCTCTGGTTCAGGCTGTAAAGCTGACCGGCCGTATCGGCCACGTCTGTTCAGCCGTTTCCTCCAAATGGTCAAAACACGCCGTCTTCTGTTCGTTTTTAAGCTTTCGGAACACACAATCGGCAGCTTTGCGCTCTGGTGACCCGCATGTTCCCTCCGAGTTGTTCCACTTCTTCTATTTCTAGTCAGACGTGCGTTTTTGGACGTACGATGTGAGGTCAGATCTCATATGGGGTTGTATAGTGAGAACAGAAATCGTGAGCTGTGACCTTTGACCCCTACGATTTGGTGCTAAAATTGGAAACTTCTCACAGTGTACGCCGGCTTTAGCCGAGGCTGGACCTGCCGTTTAAGATCTCTGTCTTCCCCCAGATCGTTGTACACGACCGGGACCCTCCTCGTTGCCTTCTCCAGTGCAGGTCAGTGCGCACACGTGCACACACCCCGCTCACACAGTCACAGGCACACACACACAGTCCTCTGGAGGAAAGACATCAGAAAGACCCGGGAGAAGCCACCTGAAGGGTCAAAGGTGATTTCAAACTACCCGGAGTCCATCTTCCTGCAGAGGAAGACCCCTCACAGACCTCAGGAGACATAAAGGACCTGCTGTTGAGCTCATATTTTGGGATTTTGTGTCTGTTTTGATCAGGGTTTGACGTTTGTGTTTCTGTACCTGGAGCCGTTGAAGGTTTCTCCTCCTCTGTCCCGCAGCGTTCCCACAGGTGCTCTTCCCGGCCCTGTCCTGCTTAGCCGTGGGAGGAATTCTGCTCCTCATAACCAACATGCAGGTGGTGCCGCCGAGCCGCCCGCACACAGGTGTGGTCGTGGCGTGGGGGGGGGGGGCCACCATGTTTAGTCCTTCTCTGTTGTGCCGAAGGTGGGAAACCTGTTCGCCGCCCATCGCTCCACCATCATCACCCTCTACAACGGAGCCTTCGACTCCTCCTCAGCCGTGTTCTTCGTCATCAAGGTGAATCTGTTGGCTCCATTTCTGTCCATTAAATCACACTCACTGCTGTCTGCTGCCTTAAGAAGCCTTTTTTAAAAATCCTATTCTTAGATACAGATGTTATTGCTAAACGTTTTTAGCTAAAATCTCAACTTTTTCTAACTAGAAGTGGGATAGACCATATAAATATGAGACAGGATTTTAAAAAACTTGACAAATTAAGCGAAAATAAAGAGCAAAAAACAGGGTTTGATTGATCATATTTGGCCATTCTACTGTATGGTGTTAAATCTCCTCTAATCAGAGTATAAACAAGAACAAAACGTGTAGTTAAATGAACTCCAACTCTTCCAAACTCATCTTCAGACCGGCCAGCTGCAGCAATTTCTAGTTTCTAGTTTTAATTTCAAGTTTTCTCATAACGTTCAGCTGTTGTTTGAGTTATATCTGGGGTTCTCCTGCCTCCCTCCCAGGTCCTCCATGAGCAGGGCGTCCCCCTCCGCTCCTCCTTCCTGGTGCTGTCGCTCTGCAGCCTGCTCCTCCTGGCCAGGACCTTCCTGCTCCTGCCCCGGGGCCACATCCCCCACCCCCTGCCCGAGGGCTACAGCTACGGGTGGGCGGCTGTTTAATTTTAAGCAGTTAAACTATATTTCAGTTTGTAAAGAACTATATTGAAATTATCCATCCATCCATCCATTATGATAACCCCTTATTCCCTAATGGGGCTGTTGGGGGACTGGAGCCTATCCCAGTAGCCAATGGGGAGAGGTGGGGTCACCCTGCACGGTCCCCAGTCCATCACAGGGACACACAGAGACACACAAGGACCAACAACCACACACACTCACACAAAGGGCAGATTGGAGTCCAACCAACCTAACATGCAGGTTTTTGGAGGGTGGGAGGAAGCCGGAGAACCCGGAGAGAACCCACAGACACAGGAGAACATGCAGACTCCACCCAGAAAGGTCCTGGTTCCCCCGGGACCCCGACCCAGAACCCTCTGGTCCTGGTTCCCCCGGGGACTACAAACCCAGAACCCTCTGGTCCTGGTTCCCCCGGGACTCCAACCCAGAACCACTGTGCCGCCCCTATATTTAAATGAATTATTTGGAATTCTTATGATTTATTTGGTAATTCTTTAAGCTCCTCCTATTAATTTAGGGGAGTAAGGACAGACGGGGGTTGTGGTTTTGTTTGTAAATGTCAGGTGTGATGAGGGGAGGTTTGGGGACAATGATTTTTTGACCACGCTTAACTTTTGTATTACTTTTCGACACCTTTTTGACTTTTAATTTGCATCAAAGTTATAATGAATTTTTGGTTATTATTTCCCTATAATTTTACAAGAAATTTTTAAAAAGTGCGTCAAGAACACAAATCACCTGTTGCCTCCGACGGCCTTTTCTTTTTGGGAAAACTCTGTTGTGTTTTTCAGGGCAAGCTGCGGTAGGGCCGATGGCTATGAGGTGAAGCAGCCTGAGGGGGTGAAGGACGCCCCCCCGGCCGCCCCCCCCGGAGGCCGGATGGCCGGACGGCCCCGCCCAGGGAGACCAGACGGAGGCTGAAAAAGGTGTCAGGATTCGAGGCAAAAATCCATTTAAAAATCTGGCCTTCAGGACTCAAAATCACCTCTTTCATCAGCCATAAGATTATGACCACTTGGGCCCCCGGCTTTTTAACCCAAAACGAAGGATAGAAGCTGTGACTCCTACAGATTTCAGGCTGACTGAGGTTTTTCCATGAGTCACTACTATCCCCCCCCATGGGTCTAAGTGGTACAGAAAGAGGCTGAATAGGTGGATCTTTGTGTCTCATTCAGGCCATCCTGAGACCTGTTGTTTCTCTCAGTTCTGGAGGGAAACGGTCATGCTTCTGTCTGTTGGGCAGCAGATACTGTAACATATCAAATACTTTCCAGGGTTTTGACTCTGAACCTGGCAAAAAACAAAGCAGCTAATTGGTGAACAGAACACAGCAGAACCTCTACTAACGAGGCCTAAACATACGAATTTTCCAACATAAGAAGTGAAATTTGATCAAATATTCGACTCCACACCCAAAGTAAATTTCCAACATACGACGTCCAAGTCATAGAAAAAAATAATCAAATGTATAAATGAAATAAAAATAAATAAGGTAATTTAGTTTAAAGTTCAGGTAGTAAAAGTCAGAGTAAGTTAGGAAAATATTATATTAGAT